TCGCACACACGATTCACGTTTTCGTCGGTTCTGGCCGTTGTTGGGCGTCCAGAACGGGGTTCGTCGGCGACCTCCTCCCGGCTCTCCTTGAATGCCTTGTGCCACCTCCCGGACTGTGACCTTGAAATGCAGTCGTCCTTGAAGGCCTCTTGAAGCATCTGGAATATTTCGGTTGCATTCTTTCCAAGTCGCACGCAAAACTTGATGGCGTATCGCTATTCAAGCGAACACTCCATCGCGCCGTGTTACAAAGTCGAAAAACACACTTCACGCGGAGGCACGTCTTTCCACTCAGACTGCTCGGAGCAAACTGACGACCGGCTGCCTTGGAAGGGCAGACCCCCCATCACATTTCCCGACCCATTTTTCCCGCTGCGATGGATATTCGCGTCACAATAAAATCATGCGCATTACTTTCATAATGGACCCTATATATCGAGGATACACATACTCACGTATATTGGTTTATCGAATTTCACCTCGAGTTTACGCATTTCTATCGCGACTAGATTCTCGAAAAAAAACGCTTCTACTATGAAAATTTAGTTTCGCGATCATTGCCTCCGCATCGTATCTCCCGTCCCAACATGTTACTCTAAGTCTACCTTGAGAATGTAACCCGTAGGTGAATCTGTTGCGACGGTCGTAACATCAAAATTTTCTACAAGTCGCACGTCGACGTAGTTGCGCATATTCTTCATGGTTTTATCAAATACAGCATTATTCATTAATTTATACAAATTTTTTTCAAACTCGTTGTTGGCAAAAGTTCTAAAATTCGTATTGTATTCGAAGCCATGGAGATTGTGCGAATTGTAGTATGCGGTAAATTTTTGCGATTTTGAGACCGTAACGAGTACATTGTTGTAGATTACGATAATAAATTACGTAATGCTTTTTATCATACAACGTAGCGAGGTGCTTTTTCTCTCGCTTGTCGGATGGTTTCTCGCGTGTCGAACAGAATGATAGGTCTGTGTGAGCGTCGTAAAGTTGCGCATACTTTAAGTCTACCTCGAGAATGTAACCCGTAGGTGAATCTATTGCGACGATCGTAACATCAAAATTTTCTACATCGTCGACCCATCGAAAATCAGCATATGATTGACACATTGCCCAACCGTACAGATTGTTAACGTTATAAGATACGTCGACGGTTTCGATGGATCGTACGACTGTATGTATTTATTATTAGCCCGTGCATATCTGTTTGAACATTGGCTCAGGTCTCTACCGTATACCGCGATCGATGAACATGACCATGTCGATGTCCATAAGAAGTTCGAATTTTACACATGTATGTTTTAACATCGCATCCCATGTAAAACCCGGTAGTATATGATAATAAGCGGGGTCGAGCCCGTAATTCGTGATGCAACAGTTACGGAAATTTTCAAAAACGTCGACTAACAACAAAACGTCTGTTTTTAAATACAGATCGCTATATTCACCGAGCGTTCGAATGGAGAACCGCTGCCACACGTTGATGGCGTGCGCGTAATCGCTCTCGGATACGGTATCACCTATCAGCGAGCTATAAAATAATTCGCGCGAGTTCGGTAACTCGGTTCCCTCTAACTTTTCGATGCAGTCAATGTACTTGTACGGAAATATGCTTTTGCGTGTAAGAAGATCAAAATCTTCCACGCTGAGGTTGAAAAATTTTGACCGTGTAATTTTCAATTTATCTTTATCGAAATACGATGCCAATTTTTCTAAACTGGTACTGAAAAATTTGTAAGAATCAATAAAACGTAAATTTATACATTTTTTTTTATTATTTGCAGTGTCGTTGGCATGTTTTGTGAAGGAAATATATTTTTCTTCTGTTATAGGATGTATATCTACTTACCTTTATACGCGATAGCTATATCCTTGATAATAAAATGCGCGTCGAATCCCGATAAGTCATAAAAAATTGGGAATGCAATATGAATCTCTGTAATTGTAAGTTGCAATTTGAATGCGCGGGATCTCTGTATCGCCCGGTTAAGTGGCAATGATCGCGTACCTGCATGTCATCCGGTACAAACGGTTTTTCACACACGTGCGTAGCGTTGTTAAAATTTATCATCTCGCGTAAAATCTACCATAGGAACGTTAGTGGACAAGATAGTCTTTATTTTATATGCTAAGTTTTTAAGTTCCTTAGCGAATCACGCGACGCAATCGTTACCGCGACGAAACTTATACACGACAGTAAGTTTGTGTTCAATTACATAAAAAATTTTATGCACACATTTTATATTCATTTTATATACATTTTTCTACATATCGCTTATTTTTTTTATTTCTTTTTACAGTGTATCCTCTCATTCAAAACCTCGCTATACCCCTTATATCTTGGTAAGGAGATACTCATTAATGCCTGTGGCTTATAAAATTTAGATTTAAATTTAGATTTAAAGAAATCAGCGTAGGACTTGTATCCTATGTGGAAATTGCAATTGGTGATACTCGAGATAACCGAATAATCCTACCTTACGCAACATGGCATTCATCGACAGACGCGAGGATATTGAGCAGCTCCTGCGGTCTGTAATTACGCCATCATCCCTAATTCAAGGTCTGGAATTTTGTAAACTATATGGTACATACAAAGTAAAATTATCATTATGCGGTAAATTTTTATATATGATGCTATCAACCTTGCTTTTCATCCTTGATGTCAAACATAATGTCGAGCATGTATACTTAGGACTATCTCAGAATGTGTATAACATGAGTGAGAAATTTAAACATTTTATTTCATATTTACGTCAAAAATGTGTTACTAATAAACACTATAAATATGTTGCACAATACTTGTGATAAAAGTTCCCTTATAGAATGAATTGGTAGCATATACTTAGATCAAATTGTATACCATACACGAATAAAAAAAATGTGAATATTAAAAAATAAATTTTAATAAATATTACTGTGTTTTAAATTATTTATTCCTTTGTCTCTACACCATTCCTTCGTCATACTCCGTATATTAGTTGATAAGGCGTTCATTACAACTAAAAAAAATTATTACATTTAGACACTAAATCATATTATTTAAAAATCATTAAATGAATACCCATCTTAATAAAATTGAGAAGAAAAGACAACGAGGGGGAGAAGAGAGAATGCGAATAATATAATATGATAGGTATGCAACGAGAGGAAGTGAGAGAGCATAAATAAGACGGTAGATGGGTAGATAGGTATAGAACTGCAATGAGAGAAAGAGAGCGCGCGAATAATGTGATAGGTATGGGACTGCAACGCGAGGAAGAATAGAGCATGAGTAAGTATAGAGCTGCAATGAGTTGAAGGGAGAAAACTTATAATAGAGCAGAACTTATAATAGATGAAAGAGAAAGAATAATAATGGGAATATGGTGGGTCCTGTCTTCCTCCCACGGTCCCCTCGCCTAATGGCATCACCCTCCCTTAAAAACGCCACGTTTTTCCCCCAACGTACTTCCCCCCGCCCTCGGATCCTCACACACACACACACACACACACACACACGCGCGCGCGCGCGCGCGCACATACATACACACACCCCGCGTATAGATATACACACTAACACGAATTGATCCAGAACCGACCTAGTATACTTACAAGTTGCCGCGCCTTGTGTCAGATTACAACGCGCGCAAACATCGCACTATCATTATGCGATTATACCCGCCGACGTAACTCCCGCGATCGGACGAAAGACTTTTGAACACAATGTACAACGCGATAAAGATCGCGGGTCCGATAAAATTCAAAGTAGACGATTCGATCGCGTGAGCAAGTACGAGACGGTTTTTGAGAAAGAGCTAAATTGGACCACAGAGCTGTTTACAATTGTTAAGTTGCAACATAACTTATCTGTTCAAAGACTATCGCTAAATCCGTCGTCGGAACGTTCTACGAGCACGAGTTGCCTCGTGCTACTCCGGACGTCTCGTGGAGAAAGTGCTGCGCAGGAAGGGAGACAAAGTGTACAAGGGTAAGTCAATAAGTTCTTAGAAAATCAGGGTACTCGCAATGTCATGTCACATTACTTTTTAATAAGTAGCGTCTTTCAGCTGACAAATTTTGAGCGGAATTCATCGCGTGGTTTCATTTCTGTAGACGATTAAAGCGAACAACCTTTGCAAAATGAATTTCGTACAGTGATCAAACATCTACATATGAAAAGTTTAATGCTGAAAGAAATCAAAACCGAGTTGGATAATGTTCATAGCACATCTGCACGTTTGCGACTGTATACAATTGGGTGAATAAATTTAAACGTAATCGTACATCCACATGTGATGCACCTCGTTCGGTCCAATTGAGGCTGCTACGCCAGAAATCATCGATAAATTCCACGATATTGCTTTGACTGATCGACGAGTGAAAGTGCGCGAGCTTGTTGAGGCTACAGGCATATTACAGTGATTTCAATTTTGCATGAACAATTGAGTATGAAAAAGCTATCGGCAAGATGGGTGCCGCGTTTGCTCACTGTGACGATTTCAAAACAACTTTTGGAGATGTTTCAACGTAATGCAGATCAATTTCTGTGTCGATTCATTATTCTGGACGAAACATGGATCCATTATTTCACATCCGAGACGAAGGAACAGTCAAAACAATAGACTTCACCGAGTGAATCAGCTCCGAAGAAAGCAAAGACCATGAAGTCGACCGGAAAGATGATGGCCACAGTTTTTTGAGATGCACGCGGTATAATTCATATCGATTACTTTCCGTCGAAGCAAACGATCAATGGCGATTACTACGTAGCCTTATTGGACCGTTTCAACAACATTTTAAAGAAAACACGTCCCCATTTGGCAAAGAAGAAAGTGTTCTTCCATCAAAACAATGCATGGGTTCACACGTGCCCGGCGCCGATGGCCAAATTCAACGAATTCCGCTACGAGTTGCTTCCCCATTTAGCATATTCGCCAGATTTAGCTCCCTGCGACTATTTCTTGTTTCCAAACCTGAAGAAATGGTTCGAGGAAAGAGATTCACCACCAGAGAGCTCATCGCCGAAACAGAGGCTTATTTTGAAGGGTTGGATAAGTCTTATTATTCGGACGGCTTGAAAAAGTTGGAGAATTGTTGAATCAAGTTTATCGAGCTGAAAGGAGACTATGTTGAGAAATAAAAATGAATCGATAAAAAAAAATGTGTTTTACTATATTTTTCTAAAAACTTATTGACTTGCTCTCGTATGTCAAGTGGCTGGGATTCAATGAATTGTACAATTCATGGACACAGAAACAATGTCATTTGATCCACATAATTTGTATAGATACAAATATATCAATAGAAGTATATAAACGTATAAAATATATTTTTTATTATCCCTTCCATACAAAATACATAATAAACGATACTACATAAAACATAATAGTACTATTTATATAACTGTAAAAAACATG